CTCTCCACCGGACCAAAGGAAGAGGTATTGGTATGTCCTGGAGTCCTCCCCAATGTGTATACATAGGGGTTAATCCATGCTCATCAAAATGAAAATAATTGAGGGTAGTTATGGCTTGGGTTAGCAGTGTATGAGGATTTCTCCCTATCACTCTCCCTTTTACTTTAATCAGTTGGTCCTTGAGTTCCTTGTGTAGTCTTTCAATAATTGCCTGTCCCTGGGGGTTATAGGGGATGCCCATGGTATGCTTGATGTGGTGTGATTTTAAGAAGTCTTGAAATAGAGTGCTGGTGTAGCATGGTCCATTGTCAGTTTTTACCTCCCACGGGAATCCAAGGATGAGAAAGGCAGCCTTGAAGGTGGCAATGCTATGTTTGGCTTTTCCCCCCATTTGAGCCTGGGCGAACGTAGCTCCTGAGCAAGTATCTATGACTGTGTGGACATATTTCAATTTGCCAAATGCTAGGACATGCGTGACATCCGCTTGCCATATGGCATTGGGCTGTAGTCCTCGGGGATTGGCCCCTCTGGGTTGTAAAGGCCCGAGGGGTAGTAGAGGGCCACAGGATCGGCAAGCATGTATGAGGTGCTTGCACTGAGCTAGGGGCAGATGGGGGAAGAGCTTATGGAGAGAGGAGGCTGACATATGAAATTTGGTGTGTAGGAGTCTGGCCTCTTCTATGGGTTGTAGGGTAAGAACTAGCTTGTCCGCTTCTGCGTTGCCTAGGGAAAGTGGGCCTGGTAGGCCAGTATGAGACCGTAAGTGTTGTATATACCAGGGCTGTTTACGGTTCTCTAGGATGTCCTTTAGGAGTTGGAGGCTCTGATCTAGCGGGGTATCTTTAACTCTTAAGGTGGAATACCCTATATTTTTTGCCGTATGCACCACGTAAGCACTATCTGAGAATAAATTGACTGGACTATTTTGACAGTAGAGAAGGGCGTATATTATAGCTCTGAGTTCTTCTACTTGTGCTGAGCCTTGATAAGTATATCTAAGATAAGTGGGGTTGGTGGAAGTTTTAGGGGACTTTATTATTGCTGCACAGTAATGCTTCCCCACATCAGTGAAGGCGCAGGGTGCCCCAGGGATAGGTTTACTAGAGGGGCGTACCAGACCTAGTGCCTCTAACGGTACTTTTTGGAGGGTTTGGAGGAGACTATGACTGGGTAGGTGATTATCTACCTGCCCTGGGTAGTTTAGGAGAAGTAACTGTGTTTCTAGATCTCTGGTTAATAGATGAGAGATTTGTTCCTGGGTATAAAAAAGTATGAGAGTGTCAGGTTCTTTTCCATATAGGGTAAGCGAAGCCTGCCTGAGCTTCCTTCCTATGAGGGTGTAGGCTGCTGTTGGGGGCGTTACTTTAGCAAGCTGGCTGTAGGCCAAGTGTACCCAATAAAGAGGACCCTCCTGAAATAGTACTCCTGTAGGAGTCCCAATGGTGGCCAGTACTATCGCTTGGATTGGCTGGGTCAAGTCTATTCTGTGTAGCTCCAGCTCCCTTAGAGCCTGGTTGACAGCTTTTAAGACCTCTTTGGCCTTGAGGGTTAGAGAGCGGGTACTAAGGGGGTCTGTGTCTCCTTCAAGCAATTGGAAGAGGGGGCCTAGGGCCCTGGTGGAGATTGATAAGCTGTTCCTAACCCAATTAATCTGGCCACATAGTTCCTGTAGCGCATGTAGGGAGATGGTATCAGGAATTGCAAGCTGAGGAGCTATGGGTACTATTTGTTCATGTATTTTATATCCTAAAAAGGAGTATGGAGGAATGGTCTGGACCTTTTCAGGAGCTATATGGAGGTTTAAGAGCTCGTAGGTTGCTAATAAGTGTTTGGTAGCATGCCTCTAGCCATATAGGGTCCCTATGGGCAATAAGGATATCATCCATGTAATGAGTGATAAAGCATTGTTTGGCTAGAGGTTTGGTTGTCACTCCAACGTAAGCCTGGCACATGGTAGGGCTGTTCTTCATGCCCTGGGGGAGTGCCTTCCATTGGTATCTCTCTGCAGGTAGTTGATGGTTGGTAGAGGGCACTGAAAAGGCAAAGTAGGGCCTGTCCTCCGGGTGCAACGAGATAGAGAAAAAGCAGTCTTTAATATCTATGATTTTTATATGTGCTCCCCTTGCGATAGCCAAGGGGTGAGGCAGTCCCGGTTGTAGAGGGCCTAGTTTTTCCATGTGTCTATTTACAGCTCTGAAGTCCTGTAGAAATCTCCATTTTACTTTATCCTTCTTTTGTATGACAAAGACTGGTGTATTGTGAGGGCTGAGAGAGGGTTCAACATGTCCAGCATCTAGTTGTTCCTGTACTAATTGCTTAAGGGCAAGTAATTTCTCTTGCGGTAAAGACCACTGTTCTACCCATATGGGGTCGGTGGTGTCCCATGATAACTTTATCGTCTGTGGCGCCGGTGGGTGAACAGTGGCCCCTAGGATTGGGGCGGTGGTGCGGTGTATATGATTGCATTGACCGCCTCAAGGATGTCTCGGCCCCACAAAGTGTGGGGGATGTCAGTCATGAAGAGTGGGCGGAAAGTCCCGGTATTCCCGTCTGAGTCCGCCCAGGAGAGTCCCCTGGCAGCCTGGGCAGCCCTCTTGTAGCCGCTGACTCCCTGAACTAGCGGACCGGAAGTGGTCGGCCATTTGGAACTCCGCTTCTCCTCTTGAATAACTGACACATCTGCCCCAGTATCTGCTAGCCCTTCTATTCTCTCTCCCTCGACCGTTAAGGTAAGGAACACCTTGCTCTGCGTAAGAGGTAGCGTCCAATATACCCCTTGGGTCGGCTGCTCTCTTACAGGCGGGGCTGAGAGCTGCCCCTCTTCTCGTTTAATGGGGGCAGTGGATTGCCATCTTTATCCTTATTGGATCTGCAGTCCCTGCGCCAGTGTAGTCCCTTTCTACAGCGGGGGCAAACGGAGGGTTTTTTTTTCCCTTCCCCTCCCTGTTTTCTCTTCTTGTTAGGGCAATCCTTCGCAAAATGGCCAATCCCTTTACACTCATAGCATGCTCCTTTCTGTCCTCCCGATTGTCCTCCTAGATTGATATGAGTGGCCAGCGCTGCCACAAGGGTGGCGGCCGACTTACTGCCTACATCTCGACAGGTAAGCACCCAGTCATCTATACTGCCTGCTTTAACCGGAGCGATTGCCTGGCGGCACTCAGTATTAGCCCCCTTCCCAGACGAGCTCCCTGGTAAGGGCTTCCGCTGCCTGGGCGTGAGTAACCTTACGGTCCACAGCTTCCCTGACTCTATGTAAAAATTCTGAAAACCCTTCATTGGAACCCAGTACAAGCTTGGACAGTCGCGTAGGCTTACCCCTCGGATTTATTTGGGCGAAAGCGCGCATAGCACAGAGGCGGACTTGATCAAAATATCTAGCGTGCCCCTGGGCCTGGACGGCAGGGGAAGAGAAAACTCCTTCTCCCTGTAGTGCATCTGCCTCATCGTGCGGATTATGGGCTTTTCCTGCTACCGTGGCTCCATTGCGTTCCGCCTGTTGCTTGCACTGTTCATAAAACAAAGCCTTCCACTGAATCATGTCCCCTGGGGCTAGTATGGTGCGAGAGAGGCATTTCCAATTATGAGGGCAGTTAAGATTTATACTAACATTTTCAAGTAGCTGTTGGGTGTACGGGGCTGATAACCCATCCTCCTGTACTGCCTTTCTAATGGCTAGTAGCTCCTTTTGGTTAGGCGGTATCCACGCCTGAGGTTGTGGGGCGGTAGGATTAGTGTTGATGGGGAAAGCCTGAGTTTCTAAGCCCAAACAGAACCATGCCATGTCCCTCTGCCAGCATTGGGATTGGTATAGTCCTGTCCAGGGATTATTGTTCGTGTCCCCAACAAGGGGGGCCGGAGCATCTGCTGCGGGGGACCTGCGCTTGGCTTCCTGCCCTGCGCTGTTTCGGCCGAGGTAGCGGCTTCCCCCGTTTTAGTTTCGTTTTGTTCCGCTTCCTTCTGAGCTCTGTTGGTGGTAGATACCTCCCAAGGGTCGGCCTCTGGGGGACCCTCAGGTGCCGAGGGAGCGGTGGTAGTGACCGGGGGATTGTAAGGTGGCAAGGGAAGCTTAGGGGGAGGCTCGTCCTTCGCTGTGGCTGAAAAGGCTGTGGGTACTGGGAGTGGCGGTTCGGGCGGAGCGCCGGACAGGCAAGCCAGGATAGCTAAGATGGCCGGCGTCAGAGAAGGGGGTAACAATTTTTCCTCATGGACCTGAGCGGATCGAATCCTTTTCAAGACCTTCTCCCAAGTGGAGGGGTCCCAAATGGGGGCCTCAATTAACCACGGATTGGACTGTAATAGATATTCCCAATGAGTTTGGAGTTCCTTTTCAGAGACCTTAACTCGCCTGCTCTGCGGTAAGGCTTGGAGCGCACATGCTTGTGGCGCTCTCGCCAAAGGGGGTAGGTTTCCCATTTTCCTGTAGAGGGTTGCTCACCCGTCCAGCCGTTCCGGGGGCCCCACGTTCAGGCGCCAGATGAAGCAGGGGGTCCCTCGGGGGTGAGGATGACGGAGCCCCAACGCACTAGGGCGTCTGCATGCAGGACTCCGGAGACCAGGTTCAGTGACGCAGATCCGTTTTATTGTGGAACTACAGGGGTATATATAGCATGAGGGGACCAATCAGAGAGAGACACGTTGCTACAGGCGACCAATGGCTTAATGGCTGGGGTACTGTGCACGTGGCTCTAGGAGTTCATTCAGGTGGGCATTGCTACTTCCTGGTGTGCGGAGGAAGCATGTCATGGTGGAGTGTGCTCACACCATTGCATCAGCCGCAGCGCTGAGACATACTTCCAGAGCTCTACCTACAGTGAATGGTAAATGTTCTTTCCTTTTTTACAGCAGTGTAGTATTCCATTGTGTAGATGCACCACAATTTTTTAATCCACTCATCTGTTGATGGGCACTTAAGCTGTTACCAAATCTTAGCTATTGTAAATTGTGCTGCTATGAACATAGAGATGCATAAAAATTCCTTTGAAGGAGGATCCTTTCTCAAAAATATGGAACGCTTTACAAATTTGGTTGTCATCCTTGCAAAGGTGCCATGCTAATTTTCTCTGTATGTTTCCAATTTTAGAATACTTTCTGCCGAAGGGAGCAAGCATTTTTTTGAATTTTATTTTATTGTTTAAAGTATTACATATAGTAGTACATATGTCTCCTTTTTTTCCCATTGACCTTCCCTTGGCTTCCCGAATGCCACAGCATATGCCCTCATCCCCTTCCCCAGTGTCTTGTGTCCATTGGTTATGCTTATATGCATGCATACAAGTCCTTCAGTTGATCTCTTACTGTCCCCCCAACACTCCCCAGTCTTCCCACTGTACTTTGACAGTCTGTTCGATGCTTTCCTGCCTCTGTATCTCTTTTTATTCATCAGTTCATAATGTTCTTTATTATCCATAAATGAGTGAGTTCATGTGGTATTTTTCTTTCACTGCCTGGCTTATTTCACTTAGCATAATGCTCTCCAGTTCCATCCATGCTGCTGCAAATGGAAAGAATTTCTTCTTTTTTATAGCAGCGTAGTATTGCATTGTGTAGACGTACCATAGTTTTCTAATCCACTCATCTGCTAATGGGCATTTAGGCTGTTTCCAAATCTTAGCTATTGTAAATTGTGCTACTATGAACATAGAGGTGCATATATCCTTTCTGATTGGTGTTTCTGTTTTCGTAGGAAATATTCTTAGAAGTGGTCAAATGGCAGTTCCATTTTTACATTTTTGAGAAAATGTCATACTATTTTTCACAATGGCTGCACCAGTCTGCATTCCCACCAGCAGTGAAGGAGGGTTCCTTTTTCTCTGCATCCTCTCCAGCACTTGTCCTTTGTTGATTTGTTGATGATAGGCATTCTGACAGGTGTGAGGTGATACTTCACTGTTGTTTTGATTTGCATCTCTCAGATGATTAGTGGCTTTGAGGATGTTTTCATGTGTCTCTTGGCTTTCTGAATGTCCTTTTTTGAAAAGTGTCTATTTAGGTCCTTTGCCCATTTTTTGATTGGATTGTTTGTCTTCCTTTTGCTAAGTTGTATGAGTTCCCTGTAAATGTTGGAGATTAAACCCTTATCAGAGATAACATTGGCAAACATGTTCTCCCATGCATTGGGCTTTCTTGTTTTGTTGATGGTTTCTTTTGCTGTGCAGAAGCTTTTTATTTTGATGTAGTTCCATTTGTTTATTTTCTCCTTAGTCTCCCTTTCCCTAGGATCTGTGTCTGTAAAGATATTGCTACAACATATGTCTGCAATTTTGCTGCCTATGGAGTCTTGTAGGATTTTTATGGTTTCCCGTCTTACATTCAAGTTCTTTAGCCATTCTGAGTTTGTTTTTGTGTATGGTGTAAGTTGGTGATCTAGTTTCAGTTTTGGTTTTTTTGCATGTATCTGACCAAATTTCCCAACACCATTTATTAAAGAGGCTGTTTTGGCTCCATGTATGCTCTTGCCTCCTTTGTCAAATATTAATTGAGTATAATGGCTTGGGTCAATTTCTGGGTCCTCTATTCTGTTCCATTGGTCTATATGTCTGTTCTTGTGCCAGTACCAGGCTTGGTAATATGGTTTGATGTCTGGTATTGTGATTCCCTCCAACTTTGTTCTTCTTTCTCAGGATAGCTCTGGCTATTTGGGTTCGTCTTTTTATTCCAGATCAATTTTGGGAGAGTTTTTTCTAGATCTTTGAAATATGCCATTGGTATTTTAATAGGTATTGCATTGAATCTATAGATTGCTTTAGGTAGTATAGATATTTTAATGATGTTGATTCTACCAATCCATGAATAGGTATGTTCTTCCATTTGTTTATATCTTCCTCTATCTCTTTTTTCAATGTCCTGTAATTTTTAAAGTACAGGTCTTTTACATCCTTGGTTAAGTTTATTCCTAGGGATCTTAATTTTTTGGTGCAATGGTAAATGAGATTGTTTTTTTCATTTCTTTCTGTGAGTTCATTATTGGTGTATAAAAGGGCCATGGATTTCTGGGTGTTAATTTTGTATACTGCTACATTGCCAAATTCCTTTATTAGGTCTAGTAGCTTTTTGATGGAGTCTTTGGGGTTTTCTAAGTATAGTATCATGTCATCGGCAAATAAGGACAGCTTTACTTCTTTTTTTTAAAATTTGGATGCCTTTTATTTCTTCTTCTTGTCTGATCGCTATGGCTAGTACTTCTATTACTATATCAAACAGGAGTGGCGAAAGTGGTCATCCTTATCTTCTTCCTGTTCTTAGGGGAAATGGGTTTAGTTTTTACCCAATAAGTATGATGTTGGCTGTAGGTTTGTCATATAGGACTTGTATTATGTTGAGGTATGATCCCTCTATTCCCACTTTGCTGAGAGTTTTTATCAGAAAAGTGTGTTGGATTTTGTCAAATGTTTTTTCTACATCGATTGATATGATTTCGTGATTTTTATCTCTCAATTTGTTTATGTGATGTATCACTTTTATTGACTTGTGGATATTGTACCATCCTTGCTTCCCCAGAATAAATCCCACTTGGTCATGGTGTATGATCTTTCCAATGTAATGCTGGATCTGATTTGCTAGAATTTTCTTGGGTAGTTTAGCATCTATTTTCATCAGGAATATTGACCTGTAGTTCTCCTTTTTTTGTGGTGTCTTTATCTGGGTTTGGGATTAGGGTAATGCTGGCTTCAGAGAAAGAGCTTGGAAGTGTGCCTTCTCTTGAATTTTTGGAATAGTCTGAGGAAGATAGGTATTAGTTCTTTAAGTGTGTGGTAGAACTACCCTGTAAAGCCATCCGGACCAGGGCTTTTCTTTGCTGAAAGATTTTTTATTACTGCTTCAATTTTATTATTAGTTATCTGCCTATTTAGGTTTCTTTATTCTTCCTTATTGAGTTTTGGAAGCTTGTATTTTTCTAAGTATATGTCCATTTCATCTAGGTTGTCCAGTTTGTTGGAGTAGAGTTGTTCGTAGTATTTTTTTATAATCCTTTGTATTTCTGGGGCTGTTGTTACTTCATCCCTTTCATTTCTGATTTTGTTAATTGGGTCCTCTCTCTTTGTTTCTTGGTGAGCCTGGCTAGAGTTTATCAATCTTGTTTATTCTTTCAAAGAACCAGCTCTTGGTTTTATTGATCTCTTGTATTGTGTATTTTTTGTTTTT